AGTCATCACATAACGGCATTGTAATACACGGTTCGGCTGCATTAAATACCGTTTTCCCTCTAATAACAATATAAGCAGCTATGTCATATGAGCAGGGTAGCCGTATTATAATATTGATTAATGTGTAATGTGACGGTCATGGAGGGGATCATTGGGTTGTAATGGTTTTCCATTTTACTTTATTATGATTTTCCATATTAAAGTGCTGATATAAACAAGGAACACAGGGCTTTAGATTGAATCACTGCAACAATATAAAATATTAGTTTATCGTTGTTTTCATGTATTATTAGGAAATGTTTGTACTTTTATTCCAATAACTAACAAGCAGCTAAATGCTACAGCTATAAAAGTGACTGGCAGCAGGCAGTGAGAGGCAGCCTCAAGAAATTATGTAAATTAAATAAAACCCTTTGCAAAAATAATCTAAAGTAAAATGAGCTTACTCCTTGACTCTCTGTATCCGCAGCTGAGCTAAATGAAACGTTTTCAGACCTTAACACGCTACACTGCAGACCAGTCGGACTTGTTCCCCAACATGTTTTTATAGGGCGATGCAGTTAAATGCTGGTTACCATAGTGACAAACGGCTCGTTGGCTCCAACAAAAGAGACGCACACCAAACTGATGATAAACTGAATTTGATTGAAGTTAGTTACAAATTAAAAGTACAATGATGTATGGAGGATGGAAATAGTGAAAACTATGAGGATACATTTACATCAATACCTCAGACATCAGTATTTACTAGCAGGGTAAGAAGTACTCTGATCATTTATTGAAGTAAAATACCACAATGTGGACATTTACAAGGAAAAGTTAAACAATGTAAAGAATATCCTTTTTAAAAAGTAAAATGTATTATACAATTGGATTATAATTATTTATGGCTCAATGTGTAGAACATTTTATTGTACTGCTTGGTAAATTACCCTGAGGTTTATTAAATCATAATTTAGTTGATATTTTTGGTGGAGAGGTATAAATACAAAATATAAAAGAAACTCAAGTACAGTACCTGAATACACCTTTTTCCTCTCCCTCTGTCATGGTCCTGTTGTGTGTTTTCTTTCAATACATATGCTGAATTAATGTGTGTAAGTTAATCATTGTTAATTAATTAATAATCACATTTAGGCTCAACAATATAATATATTGTTTTCATTTATTATTGTTGTGAAAAAAGATCTCTAAGTTGTCGCCTATTTTCTTGGCTTGGTGATTTCCAATAAATAACACTGAACTGCACATCGGGTTCTTCTTCACTCAGTTTCTATTTGTATGTTATTCAGGACGATTCATAGTTTGATTATTTTTTAACAAATAATTAAAACTTTATTTAAAGGTCCCCTATTATACTGTTTTTCATCAATATATTATAGGTCTCAGATATATACAAAAACATGTCTCTGAAATGTTTGGCTCCAAATACCAAACAAGATCATTAGGCGCATTCATCACACCGCAGTACTTTTCCCACAAAGGTTCATAGAACTTTTTTGTCGCGTTCACACCAAGAAGAGCCGGAACTAAAATTAGTTTCATGAGAACCTTTTTCACCCCCTTTTCAGTCCCTGCTAGAGCAGCAGGGACTTTCGTGGGAGAAAAAGGTTCCTATTTCTGATTGGCTGGGCGGATTGCAAACCACGCCCCGTAAAAACTTCCCAAAAGGTTTTGTGAAGCGCCATTTTATTATTCTCGTATTAGCATTAGCATTAGTCCAGCGCAGAAAACGCAGAGAGACTAACTTATGGCACACAAAAGAAAACCATGGAGGCGGTGGAAGATGAGGAGGCTGGAGGTGTCTGCGTTCGTGGCGATTTACTCGGAAGGCTCTCAGTAGAAGCTGCTTGGAAGTCCCCAGGCCGCTTCTACTGAAGGCCAGTTCCCCACACTCCGGGGACTTCCGGCCTGGATTTGGCGGCAGTCTACGCAGTTGGTTTGCGGCAAGCCTGCCCAGTACAAACCCCAAAGCAGAAGAAGAAGAAGTTTGACGTCAGCGGCTTCATTGCCTAATCCACCCCCAGGGACTTATTCCGGTGTGAACGCGATCTGTACTTAGTTCATGAGAACTAAAGAGTTCTCATGAACTAAGTTCTGATGAAACTTTGTGGGAAAAGTACTGCAGTGTGAAAGCGCCTATTGCAGCATCCCATAATCCCCTCTGTTTCAGCCCTGTTTCCAAAGTGCTGATTCTCTGTCTGTTACTTTAGATGAAAATAAGGAGCCCCTCCCCACGCCCCTCTGAGAGAGATTTGGTTAAAAAGAACACAATGGTGCTCTTGGAGGAGATTCAGGTGATATGGAGGGGGGGGGGGGGTTACCTTGGTTGGTGATTGGCTAATGGTTACACAACCCAAAAATCATTATGACATCATAAAGTGGCCAAAATCTGATCAGCTCATTTTCAGACAGGTTTCTATAGAAATGGATCAGGACAAAAATAGAGAGAATCTTTTTTTCTGAAACTTTCAGAGCCTCTTTACACAGAGGGGACACATGTTGATGTAGAAGAGACATGAAGAAGAGGGGACACATGTTGATGAAGAAGAGACATGAGGAAGAGGGGACACATGTTGATGTAGAAGAGACATGAAGAAGAGGGGACACATGTTGATGTAGAAGAGACATGAAGAAGAGGGGACACATGTTGATGTAGAAGAGACATGAGGAAGAGGGGACACATGTTGATGTAGAAGAGACATGAGGAAGAGGGGACACATGTTGATGTAGAAGAGACATGAAGAAGAGGGGACACATGTTGATGTAGAAGAGACATGAAGAAGAGGATTTGCATAATAGGTGACCTTTAATGTTTTTTCAAACTTTTGTCCCCAGAGAGACATGTCTGCTGCCAGCTGTCTGCTGACTGAAGATCAGTTTCTGTGCTCCATCTGTCTGGATGTGTTCACTGATCCAGTCAGCACACCATGTGGACACAACTTCTGTAAAGCCTGCATCACTCAACACTGGGATAGAAATGTCCTGAGTCAGTGTCCCCAACTGCAAAGAGGTTTTCAACATAAAGCCTGAGCTGCTGGTCAACACTTTCATCTCTGAGATGGCTGCTCAGTTCAGACAGTCAGGCTCAACAGAAAGCCAGCAGCAGCAGCTCAGAGCAACAAGTTCTCAAACCAGGAGAAGTTCCCTGTGACGTCTGCACTGGGAACCAGACTGAAGGCCTTGAAGTCCCTGCCTGGTGTGTCTGGAGTCCTACTGTGAGACTCACCTGGAGCCTCACCTGACAAGAGCAGGCCTGAAGAAACATCAGCTGATCGACCCTGTGGAGAACCTGGAAAGCAGGATGTGTGTGAAGCACGATAAACCGCTGGAGCTGTTCTGTAAGACCCGACCAGGTGTGTGTCTGCATGCTCTGCACTGTTTCAGACCACAAGACACATGATGTTGTTCCTCTGAAAGAAGGATATGAAGGAAAGAAGGCTGAGCTGGGGAAGACAGAGGCTGAAATTCAGCAGATGATCCAGAAGAGACGACTGAAGATCCAGGAGATGAACCCGCTCAGTGGAGCTCAGTAAGGAAGGAGCAGACAGAGAGATAGCAGATGGTGTTCAGGTCTTTCACCGCTCTGAAGGAGTCTGTTGAGAGAAGGCAGGCCGAGCTCATCGACACCATCAAAGAGAAGCAGAGAGAGACAGAGGAACAGGCTGAAGGCTTCATCAAAGAGCTGGAACAGGAAGTCTCTGAGCTGAAGAAGAGAAGCTCTGAGGTGGAGCAGCTCTCACGCTCTGAAGACCAGCTCCACCTCCTCCAAAGCTTCACGTCCCTGAACGCGCTGCTCCACCCACCAAGAACTGGACAGAAGTCAGGGTCCGTCCACCTTCATATGAGGGGACTGTGGGAGAGCTGTGACTCAGCTGGAGGAGACGCTCAGTAAACAGATGAAGAAGCTGCTTGAGGTGGAGCTGAAGAGGGTCCAGCAGTATGAGGTGGATGTGACCCTCGACCCTCAAACAGCACATCCTAAACTCATCCTGTCTGATGATGGGAAACAAGTAACTCACGGTGATGTGGAGAAGAATCTCCCAGACAACCCAGAGAGATTTGATCTTGTCTTGTGTTTAGCAAAGCAGAGTTTCTCTTCAGGAAGATTTATTACGAGGTTCAGGTTAAAGGGAAGACTGAGTGGGTCTAGGAGTGGCCAGAGAGTCGATCAACAGGAAGGGAAACTCACAGCGACTCCTCAGATGGTTACTGGACGATATGTTGAGAAAATGAGTACAAGCTTGTGCTGGTCCTTCAGTCCGTCTCTCTCTGAAGTCTCAGCCTGAGAAGGTGGGGGTGTTTGTGGATTATGAGGAGGGTCTGGTCTCCTTTTATGATGTTGATGCTGCAGCTCTGATCTACTCCTTCACTGGCTGCTGCTTCACTGAGAAACTCACCCTACTCCTCATTTCGGTCCAGGTCTTAATCATGGTGGTAAAAACTCTGCCTCCGCTGATCATCTCTCCTGTCAATCACACTGAGTAGAACAACCATTTGATGTTTTTTTTTTTTCTTTGATGCTATTTACTACAATTACAGGCAGATTTTTCAAAACAAAATGTATATCATGTAATATCATTTATTCTAATGACTGCATAATTTGCCTTCAAGAATGTTGATTTAACAAAGATAATGCACCAATGAACACGAAACAATTGCATGTCCATTAATGTCTTGAGCCAAGGAAATTAGTTTTCATTGTCCAATCATTGTATACATAATATATTGTTGGAGCTGCTGGCTCTATGGGAGAGCCCGGTCTGCTTAAAAAAACACTTTTCGTATAATACCTCTCACTGCCTAAACAATAGACACAGGCCATCGCTGCAAGTCTAACCATAGGGTGTTAAATAATAACTCCAATTAAAATGTCAAGAGCCACTAATTTGGTGATAGCTAACTAGAAGGCCAACCTGTCGTGTTAGACACTACCACACTGTATTAGGCATTCATAATCAATCTTATTCTCAATGCCACTGGTACATGTAGTGCAAAAGGTGCATCCACAAAATGCGGTTCGAGATATTTTTACTTTTATTTTTGTACAACTAAAGCCTTAAGAAAAGAGACGGTGTAGGAGCCAAAACGCTTAGTTAGCCTGTGTTTATTGTTTTTATTAGTATCATTATTGTTTACAAAGAACGCATTTGTTTTTGACCACTTCCAGTAGTTCTCCAGGGTGTGGTTTTATGGTATTCAGGTCACCTCTTGTATGTCGGGGTTGGTGGAAAGACAATGGGGTAGTTTTTCTTCCATAATGTTTTGTTGACCGTATGGTCCATCTTTAGTTATGGTGTGTTTTATTTCTTTATTAAACAGAGCAAAGAGCTGAACTGTGACTTCATTCATTAGGAGTTTTTTTTCTACAAGAAGGACATTTAACTAAACATTTTAAATGCAAAACTTTTACTTGTAACTGAGTATTTTCAGTGTTGGTATAAATACAACCGAGTGTTTCTCAAATACAAATTGTAGTTGGACTTGTTTTTTTTATTGCAACCTTATACTTCTACTCGAACAACAGCTTTGGAAACGTTCCAGATTACATCAGTAGCGCACTGATACACACATTTACTGCACACAAGCATTTTAGATTGATAAAGTGCATTTTGATGATAAGACTTTTATTTTGAAAAAAGTTGGAAATCCAGGAATTCTACTCATGGAGTATTTTAACAATGTTGTATTCATACTTTTACTTTAGTAACTCATGGGAGTACTTCCTCCACTCCCTCTTATTTACGGGCCACCGAGAAGTGGAGCAAACATGTAAAAGAGGAGGGCTTTATCTTATCTTCACTGAATTGAAAGATACAGTTTGTCTCGGCGACAGCAGAGCTTCAGTCGAGACACGTCTGTTTCTCTCCAAAGAAACACTCAACTGAATCCAGCAGCTTTTCTCAACAACACAGCATAATCTCTGCCAAACACTGGTGAGTAAACTACAAAGACAACATTACTATTAAATATTTGGTCAAATGTTGAATCTGAATGCTTTACATACCTCATAAAGAATTGTAACCAAAGATGTTGTCAATGAAAGATTTGCAATAAGTATTAAACTTTTGAAACAAAACCCAGTGACTGAATTCTGGCTCGTGAACATTGTACAGAAGACATTCACAGCTAGCACTAGCATAAGGCTAATTTACAGACCTGTTTCCTGTAGTAACTCAAAGCCTCAGCTCTGCTCAGACATGAAGTGCCACTCAGGAATCTGAAATGCAAAACTATATTAAATCTAATATACTGAATCCAGAGTAGCAGCTTCTGTCTTTTCTTCTGCATGTTTATTGAGTCTGATTCTGTATTATAATCCTCTCTCTGAAACTCCTCTTCCTCCTCCTCCATGCTGACTCTCACCCATTGAAAGCCTTCAAACAAAAAAGGTGTTTTTTATTTGGTCTGGTCCCTCAGATACTCTAAATAAATGTAAAATAAAAAGTCAATATTAATAAATGAGTTAAGTTCAATATTAAAGTGGAATTTAATACATATTTAGCTTACGTTAAAGTAGTTTCACTCTAAAACAAGAAGGAACAAGTTAACAGTGGTATATTACGTTTAAGTGTAAAAACATCTACAATACTTAAAACTTAGCCTAATATCTGGACAATTGTTCAAACCATAGAAGGCTGAGGGGGGCTTTAGCTAGATGACTTCATATCTGCCCCATTATCCATTTGAACTAAATGAAACGTTTTTGAATTCCTTTAACAGTGAACGCTGTTTTTATCTGTGAATCAACAAGCTCACACGCCACACTGCAGACCAGTCGGACTTGTTCCCCAACATGTTTGTACAGGGCGATACATTTAAATGCTCGTTACCATGGTGACCAGCGGCTCGTTGGGTGGAACGAAGGATAAGAGTTGCATGAAAAATGTACCAATGATAAAATGATTATGATTTAAGTTAGTTAAAAATTAAAAGGTACATTCAGGTACTGAAGTTGGAAACAGTGGTGTCAATACAGTGGTTTATATGTACCGCATGTTGTCAGTGCAACAAAAAAATACTATCTTTGTGAAAAGAGTTTGACACATTGGATTTTGGCATCCATTACATGAATGCCTAATATGACTCACTCATACTAATGTTATCTCTTCAAAACTTCCTGCGTCACTGACAGCATCCCAGGCAGGTATGCAGACCAGCTGTAGACAGTGCGGATGGGATTTACAGGAGCCACAATAACCCATTGTTTGACTTTGAACAAATAATACAAAACATACTAAATAAAAAATCTTGTTTTGCACACTATTTCAGAGTGAAGATATGTCTACTGTCATCTTTCTGCCAACTGAAGATCAGTTTCTGTGCTCCATCTGTCTGGATGTGTTCACTGATCCAGTCACCATACCATGTGGACACAACTTCTGTAAAGCCTGCATCTCTGAACACTGGGACAGAAATGTCTCATTTAAGTGTCCCAACTGTAATAAGCTCTTCTTCCCAAGACCTGAGCTTCTGGTCAACACTTTCCTCTCTGAGATGGCTGCTCAGTTCAGACAGTCAGCTCAACAGAAAGCCAGCAGCAGCAGCTCAGAGCAACACGTTGTCAAACCAGTAGAAGTACCCTGTGACGTCTGCACTGGAACCAGACTGAAGGCCCTGAAGTCCTGCCTGGTGTGTCTGACTCCTACTGTGAGACTCACCTGGAGCCTCACCTGACAAGAGCAGGCCTGAAGAAACATCAGCTGATCGACCCTGTGGAGAACCTGGAAGGCAGGATGTGTGTGAAGCACGATAAACTGCTGGAGCTGTTCTGTAAGACCGACCAGGCGTGTGTCTGCATGCTCTGCACTGTTTTAGACCACAAGACACATGATGTTGTTCCTCTGAAAGAAGAATATGAAGGAAAGAAGGCAGAGCTGGGGAAGACAGAGGCTGAAATTCAGCAGATGATCCAGAAGAGACGACTGAAGATTCAGGAGATGAATTGCTCAGTGGAGCTCAGTAAGGAAGGAGCAGACAGAGAGATAGCAGATGGTGTTCAGGTCTTCACCGCTCTGAAGGAGTCTGTTGAGAGAAGCCAGGCCGAGCTCATCGACACCATCAAAGAGAAGCAGAGAGAGACAGAGGAACAGGCTGAAGGCTTCATCAAAGAGCTGGAACAGGAAATCTCTGAGCTGAAGAAGAGAAGCTCTGAGGTGGAGCAGCTCTCACGCTCTGAAGACCAGCTCCACCTCCTCCAAAGCTTCACGTCTTGAACACTGCTCCACCCACCAAGAACTGGACAGAAGTCAGGGTCCGTCCACCTTCATATGAGGGGACTGTGTTGAGAGCTGTGACTCAGCTGGAGGAGACGCTCAGTAAACAGATGAAGAAGCTGCTTGAGGTGGAGCTGAAGAGGGTCCAGCAGTATGAGGTGGAGGTGACTCTTGATCCTGATACAGCACACATCCTGAACTCATCCTGTCTGATGATGGAAAACAAGTGAAAGATGGTAATGTGACGAAAAATCTCCCAGACAATCCAGAGAGATTTGATTTGTGTCCTTGTGTCCTTGTGTCTTAGCAAAGCAGAGTTTCTCTTCAGGAATATTTTATTACGAGGTTCAGGTCAAAGGGAAGACTGAGTGGGATGTAGGAGTGGTCAGAGAGTCGATCAACAGGAAGGGAGAGATCGCACTGACTCCTCAGGATGGTTGTTGGGTGATATGGTTGAGGAACAAGAATGAGTACAAAGCTTGTGCTGGTCCTTCAGTTCGTCTCTCTTGAAGTCTCAGCCTGAGAAGGTGGGGTGTTTGTGGATTATGAGGAGGGTCTGGTCTCCTTTTATGATGTTGATGCAACTCTGATCTACTCCTTCACTGGCTGCTGCTTCACTGAGAAACTCTACCCTTACTTTTGTCCCGGTCTTAATCATGGTGGCAAAAACTCTGCCTCTCTGATCATCTCTCCTGTCAACCACACCGAGTAGAACATCCATTTGATATTTTTTGTTTTTCTCTAATACTTACTTCTATTATTTACAGATTTTACGATTTACAGAATATCATCCAATGTCCAGTTAATTTTAATGGCTGCATTTCCTGCCTTAAAGCTCTCCTAGTATACTATTTTTAGGCATATATTATAGGTTTGAAAGATATGTCTGTGTTTTGCTCAAAATACCAAACAGATCATGAATTTTAGACATCCCTCATATCCCTCTATTCCAGCCCTGTTACAGAAACGCTGATTCAGGGTCGTTAGCTTTACATTTGAACTCGGCTGATGCTGGCCCCGCCCCCTTTTGAGCGTGGCAAGGCAAGCATTGAGGACTCTCTGTAAAGATTCTCTGCCGGCAGATTGTCAGCTAAATGCTGCCATGATTAAATGCCATAATTTGTTCACATCAAGGATTATTTCTGAAACAGTATGGAGCTCAAATGCTTTTTCTCTTGTGGGTTTACCACTAGCTGAGTATTTTTATTTCATGCTTTTTTTTGTTACACACCCTCTCCAGTACAGGTTAGCTTTGAGTGTTAGCGATGCTAATATAAACAGACCATATTACTTCCAAAACACATCATGCATTGTAGCAACTTTCTGATAGGGCCGTGGGTGTAAAGCCAGCACACATTTCCGATATTACGTCATATCGGATGCAAATCTGGATCAGCTCCGTTCCCCCGTTTTTTTAGAGATTTGGGTATGGAGGAAGAGAGATGGTTTTGTTTCCTGACACTTTGTGAGTTCCCTGACACATATCTATGCATACAAGACATGAAAAGGTGCATTTTGCATGATAGGAGACCTTTGAACAATGTTAAACAATGACTAATCAGCATTTGTTTGTTCTGTGAATGTGTCGAATTAAATATTCATAGCGTTTGATTATTTTATATACAAGTGTTATTCTGCAGCAATATCTCGGAAAAGTGATTTTCAAATGAATGTTTCATTGGCTTACTTTTTAGATATTTTAGTGTACTGATCTGTAAAATACCTGCACAAAAAAATGTCAATGATGGCAATTGAAAGAAACAGTTTACAGATCCATTGTATAGTTCATGGATGTTCATACAGCATGTGATGCATCAATGTGGTGTTTATTTACCTATAATAAGGGTAGTAGCCGTGGGTTTCATAACAATGTTCCCAAACATTATTATGGTGTTTAATTGATATTTGCTAGAGTTGGGATCATAAGTTTGAAGTTTAATTTACATCAATGCATTTAAGAAATGTATTTGTTCTTGGTTTACCATTGCTTAGAGCTATCCAATCTATTTGAACAACCATGTGTCACTGCTGACTCATCTTGATTTCTTCCAATGAGCATAGGTTTCAAAAATAAATAAAGATCTTTAACAGCATTAAATTCATTTTAAAGTTTTATTTTGCACTTT